TTCAAAAGTAGCAATGGATAAGTGGAGAAAATATAAAATGCAAGAAAACTCTCAAAATATCATAGTGGGAAATAAGACTTTATCAGATTTTAGTTAAAGGAAATCAAAGGTGGAAACAGAATTACTATTTCTACTTAAACTGTATGAGCAAAATCCCAGTACAGGCAGCCATCAGGTGTGATTTAGAGACCATCATGAAGCGAGAACAGAAAGCAGCACTATAGCTCTTATGAAAAATACATTTTCTCAGGGAGATAAAGCTTTTCACATGTTGGAAGAACATTAATAGATTTTTTAATTGAGAAATTTTCTAGTGTTTTAGAACTGAGAAGACATGCTCTCAGAAATCTACAATAGTGAACTTTAAAAGAAATAACAGGGAAAAATGCCTTACCTCATGCCCTGGTGCAGCACCGAGGAGGCCAGGATCCTCAGCCATGGTCTGTAAGGCATCAGCAGGGGGTCTACAAAATGCTTTTCAGTACAGCAGCAGAGTTGTATGTTTGAGACAAAAACATAGTATGTAATAAAAATACTAAGTGTCTTGCCAGTCTGTCATTTCCCACTCCCAGCAGCTTAACCGCACAGAGCATGGGATAGTCCAGGGAGATTTTTCAGGCAGGCTGGGTGCTGCCTGAGACAGCAGAGAAACAGCGTCCTGGAGGCTGTGCCCAAAGCCAGGCTTTCATTAATCCCAACCCCTCACCTTTACCACACTTTGTAGATGTTGCATTTAGGCTTTTTGTGTACATTAGTAACTATTTCTGTGAGTTTGTTTCATCAAGAGACTTAAGGTCACAGATGAAGCCTGCTTCAGCACCGGTACTTGAAGGTGGATCTACCGATTCTTAGATCTGATGTCTACCTGACTTGATCAAAGTCACATAATGTTTTCTTGTCACATTAGCTGGAACTATTTACACTTGGTCAAACCACTCTCTGATTTTGTAACACCGGTAATCAGTAACTAGCAGCACCCTAGCCTGTTAACTCTGCCCACTTTTTTGGTGGGGAAGAGAAAGAGATGGGCTTAACTTTTTTCTAATGAAGAATTCAGCCTGTCTTTCACATATGAGTACTCTAAAATGCACAGCTGAAACAGTTTGGCAAAAACACAAATTCTGTTGTAAGTATACTTGGGTTAATTTTTAACAATTTAGAATAAAGGTCAGAGTTTAAGTCTATAATATCAGTCATTTCTTCTGAAAACCTTTTGAAAACTGTAAGTACCTAATTGTTTTGCCATGAGAATATTTTCCTTTGTCTCAGTTGAACATCAGTGTAATTGCATTTGAGTAACAGTTTGAACTGTGCCTTGTAAAACAAGATTCAAAATGCTTTTTGCAACTGGAAAAATAAATTACTTAAAAATTCTGACACTATAATTGCCCTCTGCTTGGTTATCTCCTGTGATTTTTAATCCTGTTTGTAAACAAAACAAGGACTTATCAGTTTGTCCATATGACCAAGGTGAGCCAAATGGAAGATGCATTTTACATTGAAAATAGGATGCCCCTTTGGGACTCAGGCAAGGCAACTTGCAGAATATTGCTTCCTAGACATTTAAATCCAGATATTTGTGTGCTTTTGTTCTGTTCTTTATTGGTTAGCTAAGGTGCTATGTGGTTTAAAATGAGAAAAATGTATTTGTGGGTTTGTGTAGGTCAAACGGGTCCAAACTCATGTCTCTCAATGCTAGCCTGCCTGCTGTTGTCAGCCACGCTGAATATGCGTGCTTTGATCCACACAGGATGTTCCTGCTTTGTTTTTAAGCCAACCTTGTTCAGCCAAAGTCACATCAGTTGTACTTCATGCATCTGCTTCGTACCTGTAACCTGTACTAAAACTGTCCACACTGTGCACCTTAGTTCTTTGTGCACTGTGTAAAGTGGTTGTCTTCTAGTAACAAGTCTTCTGATCACTTGTCTGTCTTTCTGGTTGCCCGTGGAAATTTAGTGGAGATGACTGGAAGAGGCAGTTGTGATGTTACTGCTAACCAACTTCTTAGCCTGCCATAAATATGTTTCAAACTCAGTGCAGAAGTGGAAGAAGTAAGATCCTGTAAGGAGGGATTTTATTGACCTCTTCCCTGAAATTTCAATGGAAGTTGGAGGTTTATGATTAGGATTCAAGTGTAGATGTTTACATGAGAGCTGGCAGGTCAATCACAACCCGAGGGCAAACTTTTGCATAAATGTATAGTCTCACCGGGCCTGCGCAAATTCCTCAGGTGGTGTGTTACAAAACTTAGTCACAATGTGAATGTGCCGGTAGCGTAAGCTGCCTCTCCTCTTGCTGTTGGCTGAAGAGATACTGGTCAGTGTTGACTGAAGGAGAGGATTTCCTTACAGCTGTGCTATCCTAGGAGGCCAGCTGTGCTCAGGGCTGGCCTGGGCAACTTAGATTAGTGCTCGAGACCATAGTTCTACAAATATTTGAGGTGACATAACACATCACTTGTGCTCAGATGGGCAGGTTTCACTCTCCATCATTTCCTACTCTGCTTTCACCCCCACTTTCTCCTCTCTTATGATCTTGGCTCCACTTCCCTTCCCTTTTGCTTATGTGGGTCTGACACTTGTTGAACCATTCTGTGGGCCAAATCATTTCACTACTTGGAAAGCAATCTTTTTAAGCTGCATTAAATTTCTGCCTGTTTAATGAGTTAAAAAGATTTACAGAAGAGCCTGGAAAGCCCAAGCGTGGAAGAAAGATAAAGCAACAGGAACGCACAACGGAGAACAGGGAGGTGGGAGAAGAGAGCGGGAACACTATTGGTTCACCTTTAGGCACAGAAAAGGTGGTCTAAATTCTAACCTGGATTTAAATGTGGTGTAAAGGCATCTGAGCTGAGTTACACACCTCTGATAATATAGGGTGTTAGTCTGTGTTAGCTTCAGTTCCATTTGACCAAGTGTGACCACAAAAATGTTTTAAAGCTGGGGAAAGCAACCTCAGGAATATAGCTGGAAATAATAATTCTATTTTGTTATTCAGTTAATAATCTTAATAATCCTCCCAGTAAAAATTGGATTGAAATGAATTTTTTCTACCATAATTTATGATTTGAGGGAAGGTAATAACAAGTAAAGGCAAACATTGCCATTTTGTCTTTTGTAATTTTAAGAGGGGCAGTGTGATGTTTCTGATGTCCCAAGAGAAACTTGCACAGAGTTTGCTGGCTGTCTTCTTTTTAGTACCAGAGGAGAAGACCTGTAATTAGCCAGATGATGTTTCCTGCGTATGTTAGTGAAATGCAGGGACTGGTATAGTAAGGGACAGAATCCCATTGCCAACTCCTACGAGCAGAAGAGGACGGACACAGGGGACTGCAATCTTTGTTCTGTTGCTCACCTTTTGCCATCGCAGGTGGGATAGAGTTTGGATAAAGCAGAAATGATTCCCCATAAAATTTTATGCCAAATTGCAAAGGAAGTGCAAAGCTGTATGAGCACAGTTTAGTACTGGTGATTGAACACTGCCTGTATAAACATCTTTAAGCAAAGCAGAAATGCAAACTATTTATATATCATAGTTGATTGACTGAGTTGCTGACCACCTACACTGAATTGTAAAGTATTTCCAGGAGTGCTATAATAATGCATTACACTTCTAGAAACTGAAAATGAGGAGGTAGCTGTAGAAGGAGTTAACACTCATGAATTTGCTAAGAATCAAGTTAGCTAAGAAACACATTTGAGAGGATTAACATTGCTGTAGAAAGTAGTGTTTGAAGAGATTGACTGGGGGGGGTGGGTTGAAGAATGTGAAAGAAAATTCAGTCCTGTTGGTGGGCTTGTCAAGGACAACTTACTTTCCAGCTGTGGCTCCATGAAATGGAAAACATAGAAAAGAGCAGGTGCCACAAGATCACAGCTTGAAAAATGTATCTGAGAGATGAAAAAAGAAGCAGTTAACCTATATCCATCCTGCCTCTAAGGTAGGGTTCTGACTTGCCTTGGTTTTCTTCTGCTTAGCCTGTCAGGCAGAGGGAACTGTATTGAATAACTTGATTTAATGAAGCCTTTGTGGCAATCCTTAGAGAGAAGTCTTCATTAACCTGGTGTTCTCCCTGGTTAACTCATCGTGCTAACCCTCAGATGCGTAGGGGCTTTGACAGGTAAGTATATTCCAAGTTCCCGGAATATATTCATATATATGAATATATATATATTAGGGAAATATGTAAAACATGTAAGAAAGCAGGTGGTTTAGTGCTACCAGAAGCTCTAACCATCAAGTCGAGATGGAGATGACTGAAAGTAGGCAGACAAATAAAGAGGGACGCTTTTGCAAATCTTAGGAGGGGAAGAGGAATGGAGTCTGGTTTGTTTTTATTTAGAACTTAAGTTGATCTGGTGGTTTTGGTGTTATTTTTTCTCCTTCTAATTTTAATGCCAACGTATTAGTCTCCAATACAGTTTCTATTAAAATCAACAGAATTATATTGATGCCAGTAGAATTGGGGAGGGCTCAACAGAACACGTAGGGCAGAACTAAATGTCTTTTTTATGGCTAGTAAGGACAGGCATAGTAGATAAAGACCACAGAGACAGATATGTCAGTCAAAGGTATAGGTCTTCATAGTCCTGTCTCCCACAGTGGTCAGTACCAAATGCTTGTGAAGAAGGCTGAAAAGCTTTATTACAGACAAACTAGCTTGCCCTCAGAACATCTATTGTCACTGTTCTCTGCCTGCTGGTTTTATGCTGCTGACAGCATTCAGTATTTGATGAGAAATCGCTAGCTGTTACATTGTTGACATTCACACCTCAAATTTTCTTGACTAGAATAAAGTTTCTAGGCTTGTAACTTTTGTTGGAATCCAGTTTACATTTATTTAAGGAAGATGCTCAAACATCAAGTATCTTAGAAGGAATCTGATATTTTGCAAACATGGGACAAAAATATTTCTTTTTTTCTTGCGTCTTCTTCAACACTGTAATAGGATCATTGGACAGACTCAGAAACAGACATTGGGATCAATTAAAAAAGGCAATATGAAAAAAGCTGAGAAGCCACATGCAGAGGACAAATTCTGCTGCATTTCCAAGCTGAAGGTACAGAAATATTTTAGCAATCTTTTATGAATATACAACTGTAATTGCTTGTACTTACAGTGGTTTGGTAGAAGTTACAATCTAGACTAAATGAATCAGTAAGTTCTGTTTCTTTCCTTATCTTTAATGCCTTAACCACAGTCAAGCAAGTTTGTAAGCAATCGTGTGTTGCTTTTTATGTCCCTGACCTTTACACTTTGATGTATTGGATTGCTCCTTTGAAGCTCCACTGCTGAATTTGTGTAATCCCTCTATTCTGGCATGTTTACCATTCCGTCTTAAACCTGTGAAATAAGCCTTACTGATTGTGACATGGCAGTAAAAATTGGCTGTTGATGTACCCTAGACTATTCAAGTTGTCAAGAAGCTCTATAAAAGGTTGTAAAATAGCTTGGTTTTAATAGTAATTCAAAGCCCAAATACATTACTTATGCTTTTCAGCATTTGCAGCAGATATATTTAAAAATGCTATTGGTTTTATTTCATAAATTCTGTTTAAGAACCCTAAAGTTAAAAGGATTTAAATAGCACTGCATATATTCATATTTACTTTTTACCGTCAATTGCTACTAGATTCTTGTAAAAAAGACACACTGTTCACTACTTCTGTCTGAAATAACTTGTTCTGGGCTCATGACGTCTACTGAGGTGGGAGAGCAGATATTCGATCAAAGAAAACGGTCTTAGTTCTGCAAGTAATTTATCATTCAGATGAGCAAAGGGTGCGAAGGTCTTTGCAACCTGATCTGGCTGCAGACGTTCTGAGTCCTGCAGATGGCAATCCTGCAGCAGAGGCACGGTGGGAGAGGCTGTGCTGCGGCTGTCTTGGCTGGGGAAATGGGGCTTAAGGTTTCTAAAGACAGTCTTGGTCAATGGGAGCAGGTGAAGAACAAAATCTTTCTTCATTTTTTTTGGTGTAGTGAAGCCATAACTCTGTGGACAAGGATAGATGATGAGATTTGAACTTGTATTTAAACACATACCAGTGGATCAGGACTGTTCACTTGTTTTATCTGAAAGCACATCTTTGGTGGGGAAAATAGCTGTGGAATATTCCTAAATATATAACTTCGAAGTCTTGATGCATTCTCCTCTTTTCTCCTAGGTATTTCTGCTGGCACTATCACTTGCATTTGTTGGTAAAACGATGTCTGGTGCTTACATGAACAGCATGTACACACAGATAGAGAGGCAATTTAATATTCCGGCTTCTTTAGTGGGGATCATTAATGGAAGCTTTGAAATTGGTAATCATGCATTTTAATATTTCTTATTCTTTGAAAATATAATATGTTGTCTGAGCATGTATAAGTGACTCATGTCCACAGCAATCTGTCGATTGCTGTATGGGACAATAGTGACCAAATCTATGCTACCATTTACTGTCTTGGAAAGTAACAGGACAACTTAAATGAGGAATTCAGGATTAAAAGCTGGTTCAGCTAATTTCTGCACTATTGTAAGATATGACAGAGCAACTAACATAATAGAACTACTTTATGAACTTTGTACTGAATCAACTAACAAACCAGAAAGATTTTATAAATGTTTTTTGAAATTAAGGTCATATTTAACATTTTGCAGTTCTTTTAATCAGTGACCTCAAAGTTGGTTGGAGTGGATTGTCTCCTTACTCAAACTCAATAATATTTCAAGGTTTCGTACCTGTACAACTGTAAAGAAAGTTTCCAGTTCTTCTGTTAGTGACCCTTACCTCACCTATCAGTGGGTTTTATTGCCGGTGACAGCCTTCTGTCTTGTCATTGCCACAAAAGCCAAACAAAGGTCTTGATAGCTTCAAACCCATCTCAACAGAGTTCCTCAGAGGATGTGTTTTATACCCTTAAAGTCACAATGTGGATCTTTATTATCCCTGGCTCAGCTGAGGAAATGGTCTGCACAGGCTTATATACACTGGTGGGGAGGGGAGACAAGGCTCCTTGACCTCTTTTCCTGGTCTCTCATATCTGCATGTGCAAGAAGAAGAAACTGTTGGCAATACCGTGCTTGCTGCCTGCAAAGCAGTCTGATGGGGCAGTGCAAAGTCATGATAGGGAGGGAATACCCAGGATATAGTCTTGCTTTTGATAAGGAGGAGACTTTAAGCAATATGAAATGGCCAAGATTAATGAAGTAGTATGAAAAACGCTTACTATTTTAAATAAATTATCCTCTCACATGCACCTTTGTATAACAAGTTGTGGCATTCTTATCTCCAAGGATGTAAAATAACTGTGAATAATCATATTAATATTTGAAATGATTAAGAGTGAGTGTATGTGGCAGACATAAGGAACCTGTTAGGACTGTGTAAGTGTACATCTTTAAGTGTCATTCAAACCACGGGTTCAATACAGTCTGTCTAGCAATCATACATAAAAACGATGTTACCTTCTTTCAGAGCATGATGCTCATCACTCAGAGACATGGTTTTGTTCTCTTGATGAAAAGATCACAAAATTATTAGGTGTATGATTACTAAATTGTTATTTTTATGGGACCTGATTCATAACATGAAGCTTGATGATTTTCTTAGTTGCATAGCAATAAATGAAAAGTATAGAAAATCAACTGATTCTGAAGTGAAAGTAGAGGAGAAGAGAATGAAGATTTTTAACCCATTTGTATTTTTAAATGGTATTAGGTACAAAAATCTGTATTTTTTTCTTCCCCTTAAATTAATATTATTTTCAGTAATACTTTATTACTCCTTTTTTCTCTCTATGTCATCTTATGTTTATTATTTTCAGTACAAAACCGCTTGCATGTATACTTTTGTATTTTCTCACATATTGTAAATTCGAGTATCCTAGGAGAATAACTTCCTAAAACAACTATTATTCTGCAGCCCCTGGGCCTGGTCTCTATGTAAAGTAGTGGGAAATATCTTCTTTACAGAGGTGCAGTCAAAAATCTCTTTCACCATGATCTCTTTTCCATTCTGCCTTCTATTCTCATGTTTTTTCCATGTGGTATAACTCTCCCAGAAAAAGATCATAGATCGGAGGGAATTACCGCATCGTTTAGGCAATTTCCTGTCTAGTCACAGTTTTTACAAGACAAGAAGTAATAGATGTTGAGATAACAAGGTATACTCAAATTTCTGTTGCACTTGAAAAGATATAAAGATGTCTTGGTTTTTAAATAAGGCTGAGGTTCTTTTTGCAGGCAACTTGCTGCTAATAGCATTTGTGAGTTACTTTGGAGCAAAGCTTCACAGACCCAGAATAATTGCTTTGGGCTGCACAATTCTGTCGTTCGGATGTCTTTTGATATCACTTCCTCATTTATTATTTGGAAGGTAAGTATTTTGCTTAGCTCACAGCAGCTTCTGTGATCCTTACTTGCCTCAATCCATAACTTCTCCCACTGAAATAACATTGCTTATTGAGAGAGACATTGCTGAGCATGGGTACGATATGATAATTGTAGAGCAGCTTTGGGTTTTTTGCTTCTGAGATGGCTTCAAAAGTCAGTCATCACTTCCTGAGGAGAGTCACCCCTCTGCTGGGCACCTTGCCCTTGCCTTGCCTTGATCTTTGTGCTACACCTTGTGTGGACTCTCTGTACAAACAGTGGCCTGTGATACTGTCACATTACGCTACTAGCTCTTAACTGCTTGCATGGACAACTCAAGATGATTTTTACAGATGTCTTTGGTCTGGAGCTTGGATGACAGATCATACCTGATTGCTGTGTTGGCAAGGCCTTTACAGACCATAATGATTCTTTAACCACTTTTTCACTATTTTTGCTTGGCTTAAAAATATAATAATTTAGGCTTGTTTATATGTTAATCAGTGAGATATCTTTTGAGAAAAGAAAATCCACTAATCTTGTTATGTTCCAATGTGGTATGGTTCTGATAGCCTTGGTGGCATCCTCTGCTTAGGGGGTAAATTGGATTAAAATGTAAGAAGAGTAGGAAAGAAAATGATACAAGGGATTTCATTAGGGTGTTTCATTGATTTCTCCTGAAGCATCTGTTACAAGATTATGTTAGAGGCTATATAACAGTCTGGATAAAACACTGAGCTGATTCCCTGCTACAGTTCTTTTGTTCCTAGCCTGATTTGTTACTGAGGCTCGGTTAAGTTTTGATGTGGGTTTCCTTCTTCCTATAGCTACATACTCTTCTTATAGGTAGCTTCGTTACAGAAGTACAGATTTATGAGGCGGTTCTGATGTATTTCTTGTTAACTTATACATGCTTTCCTTTGATTCAAACAGGTATCGTATTGAAAGCAGTATTTCACCATGGGCAAATTTTTCAGTCATGCCTCTATGCCTTGTTAATCAAAGCTTGTTCTCTTTACCTACAGAGGAACCATCAATAGGTATGGCTCTTCCTATGTCTACTGATACTTTTTCCTCAGTTTTTATAGTGTTTAACTAAATAGGATTTTATTTTTATTAAAAATTATTTCAGGGTCCTGCTTTTGATCAGATATAAAAACTAGAGGACAATAAACTTCCTAGCCTTCTTGTTTCTTTAGTCTGTGACTCCAGAGTGTACCTTTTTTTCATGCAGTTTTCACAGTATCCAAACAGCTCAGTTAACATGCCTGTCAGTCCGCTTTGGGGAAATATAACACCAGGTTGTTCTCACAAATATTCCTCTTTTTGACTTGAAATGCTATGATACTGTGAGGAGGTGGGAAACATATTTGGACCAAGGGTAAAAGGCATCAGATGCTTTTTTGTTGTACCGCACATGAAAGAGAAGAATGAGAGAGATAGAACAAAAAGTAGACCGCACTTCTTTTTAGAGAAAAGAGAAAATAATTTAAACTAGGCTGAAACTTAACTAGGAGACTGAAACATGTATATGCACTAGCAATATGCATATAAAGTAACTACTATGAAGTCAAAAGGCTCAGAGGCAACTATTAAATGATCACATACAAAATCCTCACACTGAGGATGGGATTAATCTCCTGAGCCTTTAGCTACCTGAAAGGGAAGCATGTAGTCTGAACCATCTCTTTAGGCTCCCTTGGTAGTTGGTCAAAAGAGACTACAGAACTCTCGCAGAGCGTGTCCCTTGCAAGGGACATTCATGCTCTTTACTTTAGGGTGGGTCGGCTTACCTCCCGGATGCGCCTACCAGCCATTGGAAATGTAGATGATTGGTGGATGGCAAAAGTTAGGTGAGAGTAATCACACAGTTAATTGTTATATTTTGTGGTGGTGTTCCATCGATGTGTACTAAAGCTGAATCACACTGCTGTAATATTGTATGTACACAGTGACATCAAACCATAGTGTTGTACTGTAGTTTTCTGTGTCTTCATTTAGTAACGGATGTGGCTTCCAAGCTTTCCAAGACTGTATGTTACTTACGGCATTAATTTTTCCATCTTCACAATGAAAAGTTGAGAAAAACGTATACTTAATAGTACTTAGTATTAATCTTTCATTTGAAGATTTCAGATACTGTTTTTCTTCATTTTATAAATGCACAAATTAAGGTACAGATAGGTAAAGCATTTTCTTCTAAATTATACAGCTATTCAATGTACACACTAGAACCCATAGGTCCTCAAGCCTATGACTATACTTGGGTAAGGTGATTGTTTCTCTGTTAGTTTATGGACAAGCAAAACTGTGATGTTCACACATATGAGTCTGTCTCCTGTGTGATGCAAAACTGGTTTGAATTTGACCACATCTGAGTGCTGAGATGACAGCAATCTGACACTGATACAGGAGATCCTGACTTGATCTCTGAACAGTAATGCTTTCATTTAGAAAGTTGTCAGTTGCTGCTAACAAAGCTGGTTTTTATTTGCCAACAAATTGGCACTGAGAAGTCTCAGCATGACAAAGTGGGCCATAGAGAACGGTGGAATCTGAAGCAGACTGTATGGCATGAAGAAATCCAAGGTCAGGGAGAGAAAGAAGGTACTAAAGGTCATCATAATTCCTGATATAACTCTCCTGATGTGGGACAAACAGGATTGTGCTGCAGCACAGTATTCTTCTGTTGAGTTATGCAAGAGGACAGATGTGAATAAATGAGTGCTAGATCCCCAGATAGATTCAGCAGGTTGCCCAGATATATTGTTATGGATCTTGATTTCGACTGAGAGTTGTATAAAGGTCACAGTGAGTCAAAAACTTCCCAGAGTAGCGCCCAGATGGGCAGATTGCGGGCTGTGTTACAGTGGACGCATGCTCAGGGAAGCACTGACCTTCTGAATTACAAAGGTATGATGGAGGTAGAAAACCTTTTGTAACATTCGGTGATATGCACCAATTATGGTAGAATTTGTATATTATTTGCTAAATCAAAACTTGCATTGTCCTCAAGATGTCCCCAATCTGAAATTGAATACCTGAACAGATAACATCAAGACAGATGAAATTTCTGGATAGGGAGGTCATTGATGTGCAAGGCAAAAATCTAAGGCTAGAACAGAGCTTTGAGGTAAGAGTCTAAGCTGGGGTTTCCAGGTAAAGAGGACTGTTGTACAGAGCACTGGCTGAACCAGATGATGATTTAGACATGGATGAATTTACTCTCCATGTGCATTTCTGGGGGCTTATGAATATTAGCAAACTAGAAGCTAGTAGTCTGTATCAAGGCAAAGAAATTGGAAAACTCAGAAATCTCATTCCATGCAAAGGTAGAACAGCTCCATTTCTTCTGCACTAGCATGCTTTTCTTGGAAGCAAATGGTGGCACCTCACTGTGAAACGAGGAAGTCTTCTGGTTTATTTCAGACAATGTTCTTATAATCAAATTAAAATGTACAGGCTTTATGCAACAATTACCTGAATCATTGCAAAAGACTCCTAAATTTCAGAGAAATGGTCATGCTGTTCTTCCCAGCCCACTCTTCCACACTGCCCAGGTCTCTCTGTAAGATAGCTCTCCCTCCTGATGTGTCCACCTCACCCACTCAGTTTGGTATCATCAGCAAACGTGGTGAGAGTGCTTTCACTTCCACCATCCAGATCATTTAGGAAGATGTTGCATAGCATGGGGACCAGTATCGGTCCCTTGGGGACCCCACTTGTGACAGGCTGTCAGCCTGAGTAAAAGCCATTGATCGCCACCCTCCAAATGTGACCCATGTGTCTATTTCCCACCCATTTCGAAAACTGTCCTTCCAGTCTGTATCTTGCCAGTTTGTCCAGGAGGAGGCGGCTGTGGGAAACAGTGGTAAATGCTTTGCTGAAATCCAGATAGACAACATCCCCTGCCCTCCCCATTTCCACAGAAAGTATTACTTTGTTGTAGAAGGCCATCAGGTTAGTCAGGCATGATTTTTCATCCCTTCATCACTGATGTTTGGGCACTGTTTTCTCTCCACTGACATGAAAATGGCAGTTTTGCTGAGGAAAATGAATAAAGCAGGGAGGGCCTGGGTTATGCCGTGGTTGGACTGCCAGGTGAATGGACAAGCTATGGCATGGAGAGGGATGGGATTTAAACTCTACTCCAGCAACTGCAACATCTTCTTCCAGTTCTGGAGCCTTTCAAGTATCACGACTACTTATTTCCCTCTTCTACAGGACAGACCTACCCATCGAAGTGTTAGCTGTTAGTCAATTCTTCATCTCTAGAATTTAATTAATAGTTGGAATTTAAAACATTAATTCTGGCTTCTAATTTTATTCACAGAATGTGTAAAAGAGCCTGGGTCCTTGCTGTGGATATTTGTGATGGCTGGAAACATAGTACGAGGAATAGGTGAAACTCCTATCATGCCTTTAGGCATTTCATATTTGGAGGATTTTGCCAAAGCAGAGAATTCACCTTTCTACCTGGGTAAATCTACGTATTGTTATAACTCCCCTACCCCAAACACACACACACACACACATAAACAAAAGCAAAAGAGAGGGTTATTATGACTCTCTTAAGTCCAATAAAGGGAGAGAGAAGACAGACATTACTGCCGTGTCAAAATAGTAATACTGTACAACTTGTAATTTAACTAGAGATGAACTTGTTGAAATGAGGCTATGTTTAGGTGCAAAAATCTATTCAGTAGGGCTGTCCTAAACATATATAATAATTCCAAGGAAATAATTGTGTTCAGGTTCTAATTTAGTATGTTTTCTCCTTTTCATACTTTAGGATGTCTACATACAGCAACTGTAATTGGCCCCTTCCTTGGTTTCTTATTGGCATCATTCTGTGCAGAACTGTTTGTTGATCTGGGATCAGTAGATCCAGGTAATGATTGAATATACAAAATCTTACATATAAATTAGTAGGCATGATGGTGTATTTATCAACACTAAAAGATGTTTCTTGCTAATATTAGCTGTCTTCATTTTATCCAAGTTTGCTGGTGTTTCTTTTAGAATGGAAAATCTGTGTATAATATTCAATTCAATGAAAGGCCTGAATTCACACATACACAAATTAATCTACATATAAATTATTTGATGAACAATTGTGTCATCTGGCTTAACATAGGAAAGGGTTAGAATTAATTTAATACAGCACACTGAAATTTGCCAGAAAATTAGCAACATAAGAAAAGAAAATTGGAGACTATTCTCTTTCATCAGCCTCATTTTAAGAACCTTTAAAAAGCTTTAAATATATCACATCAGAGGTGACTAGAAAAACACACAATAACAGCAAAGAATGTTTCTGAACTAATATAAGATGTGTGGTTTTGTGGTTTTTTGTTTTTGTTTTTCTTAATAGAGGACATAACTATAACAGCTACTGATGCCCGCTGGGTTGGAGCATGGTGGCTGGGCATTTTGATTTGCGCATCACTGAATCTTCTCGCAGGAATACCTTTTTGGTTTTTGCCCAAGTCACTTGTGAAGGAAGGAGAAACCAATGAACCTGAGGAGATGAGTAAAAAAAGTGTAGTGTTATTGCAAGAAAATGATAAAAATGAAGCCAAACAGACCATGTATGAAATTGCTAAAGGCAAGTTATATTGTATTTTATTTCCTTCCTAATTTAGTTGTTACAGTGAACTATGTCTGTGTATTTTTGTGAGGAAAGATAGGTCCAAGGTATGAAATGCATACTCTGTTTTTTATCTCTCGGTAGCACAAAGTATTTGCACAGGGATTTGGAATGGTTTCTTACAGAGGAAGAAACCTAATTTCATAGATCCAGGTTCTGAATTCACTTCTTTCCCTCTCTTGCATTTCAGATGGATGTAGATCTGCAGCTTTTCTTTTGTGGTAGAGGATTAATACACTGAAATCTGGTTAAGAATATTACACCTCAGTGAGCTGTGGACAAGTTGCAGATATTAGTTGCTTGTGCCTCACATTCACTGTGCAGAAAAGCAGAAAACCAGCACAAGTCTTGTGTATTTCTTGAGTCCAATTTAAAGCCATAAAAGGGAATTGACAGGTGCTTAAGTGTCTCATAAACATTTAATGGCTGTTGAACAAGGATCTATTTAACTTACATGTATTCATGTTGTCGTTGGCAACATTCACATCCGTGGTCTTTCAGATCTATGTATCTGTAGGAAGCTATTTTTTTCCTTCCATTTTTTGTGCTAGTTGGAAACATAAGTGAATAAAATATGTCAAAGGCTATGATCTTCAGAGTAGTCTCATGATTCTGTATACCCAGCTCAGGGCCCTTTGACAGGATCTTCATTTTCTGAAAGTAAGTGCCAAGTGCCAGCTACCTCTCCATGGTGTTTCAATCTGAGTCCTGCAAATTCACCAGACTCAGAGTGAGTACTCAGATCTTCAACTTCATTTGATACTCAACTTCATTTTGATAAATGCAGCATCTTTCTCTACTGTCATGTAGCCTTAAATGAGTCCATGAATAAAGTACTGCTCTAGTGAGGAAAGGTCCCTAGCTCAGACTGTGGGTCCTAGTACTCGAGAGTCCTTTTAGAGCTTATGTTTTCATCACCATTCCCTCCTTGGGTTGGTGCAAATATCTTGAATTAAGAATCTTTTCATTTCACAGAATGGTTGAGGTTGGAAGGGACCTCTGGAGATCACCTGGTTCAACCCCCTGCTCAAGCAGGACGACTTAGAGCCAGTTGACCAGGACATGTTCAGACAGCTTTTTAATATTCCCAAGGATTTCAAGTTGAATATTGAAGTATTTATAGTTAAAATTAATCACTTCCTCAGAAATCTCTGATTATAAACTGCATGGCATATATAAACAATACAGCCTATTTATAGTGCTTAGGATATTTGACTTATTTTTGCAAGACTTTCATACAGATCCTCTTCTAGTAAGATACTTGCCTACCTCTGAAAGATATATATCCTTCCTGGGTGGTGCCCACTTTCAATGAAGCACGGTCATTTTTTTACAGATACTTACATTTTTCTGCAGAGTTTCTTGACAATAGCTCAGGATATTAATTAATAGAGAACGTTAGACAAAGAGGAATTGTGGGGGTTTTTTTTATGATTCAGATCCTGACTTAACAGGCATTACGCGGAGAAAAGACCTGTGTAAATTAGTTTCTCTGCTTACTTGGCTGAAGGCTGGTGGATCCAGACTTTGAGACTGCGGTGGGAATAACTGTGGTCATCTCCCTCTTCAGGCCTCTTCTGCCGTATCACTGACAGTAGCAATAGCTAAAATCACTAATCAGGTCTCTAGGGGACACTGTCACAGCTGTCTAATTCATTTGCACCCCGTCCTCCTTGTACTCCCTTTGCATGCCAGGTGCAGGATGCTCTGAGGGCATGGGATGAGGCAAAAAGGAGTATGAATGGTGGGAGTGTAGCTGCTGCTGCAAATCTGTACGTAGAAACTTCAGTCATTATACAGCTAAAAAGTTTCAGGAAACTTTTACAATAAGATTATTACTGTGAATTTTTTTTTTTTAATAAGCAACAGCATGCGCGAGTGTGCGTGAGCGTGTGCAGTTATCTTTGTCTAGAAGAGACACATTGGTGTAGCTTGGGCTAAACATGAAATCTTTGGCCTGTGGTGTCTGGCAAAGCACAAGAATTAACCTGATCCGGTTAAGGACCACTTCTGTTTCCCTCTTCCCCCCACAGCCACATTGAGCAATAGCTGATTAATTTCATAAAGCATCACACTAAGTCATCACATTATTTCATTCTAGATTTCATCCCGTTCCTCAAATCTCTGTTTCGCAACCCAGTTTATATGTTATTTATATGCATAACTGTGTTACAATTCAGCGCCTTTGATGGCATGATATCCTTCATGCCCAAGTATTTGGAACAGCAGTTTGGAAAATCTGCATCGGATGCCATCTTTTTAATTGGTACGTTTGCATTTTACTTTGCTGTGTTCTACCAAGTGATGTTGCTATGCAAATTCTCTCTATTCTTATACATAATTTTTTATATATATATATATTCATGTTTCCTTGTATACATGTATATATTAAGGTCAAATGCTTCTACAAATGAGAGATTCCACACTACAAAGCATTTCTAAATGATCATGCATTTTCTGCTAAGCATCTCCTGATTTTCTGTGCAGAATTTAATAATATACTTCCCATGTTTTGAATTGGCCCAGAAAGTTCAGCTGATGTAAAACTTGCACCACTGATCTCAAAGACAGTATGCTAATTTGCATGAGGAGAGCATGGACTCAATTATCTTGATTATATTGATTTAAAAGTGTACCGTAACGTAGAAGGTAGATTTCATGTTAATGAAAATGACATAGCTAGAACTCTTAAGACGTAGATGGGTTGAACCTATGCACAGCTAAAATTGCCAGTGATCTTCCCCGCTTTCCGTCCTCTCCACTCTACAGGTGTTGTCTTGGGCCTTCTTAAAGCCTCAGATCCTCTTTCATATGCAGAACTCTGTGGAAGGAAAGCACTGACCAAATAGCTGTCTATTTTGTCTCTTCTTTATCAGCTTGTCTTTTTTCATGAATGAGGACAAGAAGGTGTCATGCATTGGGAAATGGTAATGGCAAGTAGTTGTAGCACAAAGCACATATCCTGAAACTGTAGGAGCCTTTCTATGGTTCCAGTTTATCATGTCTTAAATTCTCAGTTCCCTTGTTTAACAGCGATGACTTAATTAGACTAGAATTTATCCAATCATTACAGAAGAAACATCTTAAAATATGTCTAGCCCTACCCTGTTCCTTAACTCAGTGCTCATCTTTCACAGTAGCTGCACCATTTTCTTTAAAACCTGCCACACAGAATGTCCCAGACATTATGAGTATTACTGTCGCCCTCTCTTACCTGTGTTTTGAAGCTGTGCATCCAAAGGCATGTAACTGTAATACATCTTATTTGCGTTGACATTGCATTGCTGGGGTGTTTTTAGACAGCTACTTCCTAAATGTCTTTCAGTCAGTCTTTGTTTCATTAAAGTATCAAACAGCAAAGCATGAGAGCATATTCAGAATTCTCATATCAAAACTGGAAGTCTTCTGTGATGCTCAGTGTGCACCAAGATGTGTTCCACTAGCTTATCTTCCTGTTGAGCTGCTCACTTGGGTAGGGAGGCTGTATTGAAACCCTAACTTTTGTTTGGTTGGTTGGTTTTGGTTTGTTTTTCTTTTTGTTTTGTTTTGGAACTAGATTGCAACTCCAGATTGCAATTTTCCAATGAATCATTTCAGTCTTACCCTCTAGCTTGTTCTCCAAGCAGTTCGCAACTGCTATTGACTTTGGCAGATATTTTGGGTGTGCAAGGGAACTAACAGAGACCCATTTCTGACTGTAGAGAAAATATTCATTCACAGGCACTATATGAGTCTTGCCAAACTCAGTCTTCCCTTATAAGTAGCTTTAATGGTCTCCTCCTTTATTTTAACATGGAAGTTTCACTTGTTTAAATAGGTGTTTACAACTTACCAGTTATATGCGTTGGGTATTTTTTTGGAGGCTTATTCATGAAGAAATTCAAGATAAATATCTATCAGGCTGCGAACATAGCGTTTTGGGTATCTTTACTGGAATACCTTCTCTACTTTGCTGCCTATTGGACTGTCTGTGATACTTCACCAGTAGCTGGCCTAACAGTTTCCTATGAAGGGTATGTTCTTTAAGACACAAGACGACTTAAATCTTAAGACACTGAAATGATTTTGTCAAGAATCAGCCAGGGACTCCATGGTTTTACAACGTTTTAGTTTAATGATCTAAATTATCAAGGCTTTTACTTGCATGAAAAAATAGGTCTATCTGTTATCAGGGTTTTAGACAATAAAGTGTTTTTAAAAAGATATCCACATCAAGACTCATGCAATTGCATGTTCACATTAATTCTATTACTAATATAATTATACATTCAAGTCATGTAACTGCAGGTAAAAATAAGTTGTTGATGGAATTAGGCATGTATGAATGCAATTTCAGAATTACAGAGGGGCAAACCCCTTTATCTTACACTGGTTTACTGGAATTTCATTGCTATTGAGTTATCAGAAGATATTTTATCTAGAGTTTATTGATTTGAAGCCTGCCATTAATCGTTGGGAGGGGTTGTGTGTCTGTAAAATGCACATGTAGGTATATGTAATGCTTATAGACCATCAAGAACATACATGCCACAGATGAGAAGAATGCTGTAGGTTATGCATACTTATCCATGATTTGATAATACTAATATAATGTAACATAACATCCTCTAGAAAGATGGAAAGGCATGACTCCAGGATAGGAGCATCTAGGATTGTGTCCTGGATCAACACTTGAGTTAGAATAGAATCTTAACCATTACAAAGGGTTATTGTAGGTATTTCATTACTGAAATATTTACTAATCTTCTAAATGTATTTCAGAATAGAACAAGTTTCATATGCAGAAAATACTCTGCTTGCTGGCTGCAACAGAGATTGTGATTGCCCACTTAAAATATGGGACCCTGTTTGTGGGAACAATGGAATCACTTATGTGTCACCATGTCTTGCTGGGTGTAAAGCCTCAAGAGGAACTGGAAGAAATGTGGTAAAGCATACATTTTATTGTGCTGTAACTATGAAATATAGCAGATGAGAGATATCTGTATCAATACAGGATGGGAAATATCCACGCGTGTACATTTAATTGGATATAGAAGGTGATAAATAGAGTTGGATAAATTCATTGAGTGGTAACAGAAATTCTAAACTGAACATGAAAATTAGTTTAATTTTAAATTAAAGAACATGATGAAGAAGCCTCCTTTTATTCTAATAATCTAAGCAATCTTAAATGCTCAAAATGGAGTGAGAAATTGTTCTCAGGGTATGACCAGTTGGAAAACTCAGTGCAGAAGGACATTTCAGCCAAAATGAAATTCTACAGCATGCACTTGATAATCTCTTTTACTGTGTAGATTTGAACAAGTAACCAGGTATTATAGAACTTTATTATCTTAATTAATAAGACATTTTCCATTAAAAATTATAAGTTCTAATTAGATTGAAAACAATCAAAAATGAGTTCAATGAAACCCAAAATCATAGAGATTTTAGAAAGGCTCTGTACTTTACAAATATTTTAGAGAAGTATTAGATGATAGTAAGGGCCAGACACTGATGCCCCCACTCACCCTGGCTGACATTTAGGAGCCCTTATTCTGGCAATAGTCTCAATTATTTCAGTAGAAGCAAGTGTTTGAGAGAGAATATTGCAACCCAGCCTCAATCAAACATCTCTGGTTTCTTCTCTTCCGGCATATGAAAGACCACAGACTAGCTTATGGAAAAGAGGGTCAGATCTGTTGGCACTGGAAGGACCTCATAACCAGGCTGTGCTGGGAAATATGAGGGCTCTTTTGATCACGGCCTCCTTGAGGAAGCATAGTCCCAGCTGCATAAGAAGACCATAGCTCCCTCCCACTCCCTAACCCCATACGCCACATACAGATGATGGTTGGACCTCTGCCTGGCAGAGGGAGAGAGGCCGCAGTGCTCATGTGTAAAATACTCGAGTGAGCTGGGTGCCAACTGTGCAAGTTTCACACTTGGTCTGTGAGTTTTGACAAGTCTGTGTGATTAAAACACTCTTTTGACAGGTATTTGAAAACTGCACTTGTGTTGCAACCTCAGGGTTTTCATCTCAAAATGTCTCTGCAATTCTGGGCCAGTGTGATGGAGAAGAAAACTGTGACAAGATGCTTCATTATTTTTTAATATTGTCATTAGTCTGCAGCTTCATTTTTTCTTTAGCTGCCATGCCTGGGTACATGGTCTTAATAAGGTACAGTAAAATGTCCTTATCTTAAGAAACCTGCTGGAGATTTTATTCTGAGGTCAAACACTCTCGGGAATTAAAAGTGTGTTAGTTTGTGTATGGGGAGATGAAGAATAGAAAGATCTTACGTCATTTCCGTGCTGTGTTAAGGTTTAGTGTCATGTCAGCTTTCTAACTTATTGCTGCTTCTGGCTATCACCTGTATCCTGAATTAATGTTGGACCACCGAGTCAGTGCACTGAAATCTTGAGCTGTGCTATACCCAGGTGTTTACTGATCACATCAACATGGTGTTGATTAAGGCACAGCTATCTTGCACTTTGTGTTGTCCTCTGTCTACATGGATGATACCAGGACAATAATGCTTCCTTTTGTGATTTGTCACTCCTAGTTAAGAAATTTCAGTAAACATCACCTAATGAGGATGAGAGCACACTTTCAACCAGTGCTCTAATCAGAACAGTTTGGACCTAATGTGATGAAGAGTTTGATTGAAAAAAAACAGAGGTAAGCATTTCTTATTAATGTCACCTCCACTAATTGATGTACAATGTAATTATCATACAGGTCTCTAAAGCCTGAAGAAAAGTCATTTGGAGTGGGTATCCATGGACTAGCTTCAAGAGTATTTGGTAAGAAAAGCTCTAACACGCTTCAGAAGCACAGTTAGGTCTGATCTAGAATTAGACAAGGATCACATCAGGGCTATGGGCATGACACATGAATCTACTTCTATGGAATGCCTTTGTCAGGAAGAATTTGGGATTTTTTACAGATCTAAGCAGCACGGCAAATTAGAACAGCTTTCAGTTTGCATTTATTTATATGGGGTAGTAGGCTAACTACATCTGCTGCTCATCTGAAAGCCATTTTACATTCCTTTGCTTTTGTTACACGTTTATTGAACACAACACTCACTGACGAGAGAAAATGTTGAGTTTTGAATAGGACGCACAGCCCATTTATAGGATGTATATATTGTTAAACAGTCAACAGGAAAGAAAATCTTTGGTTCAGGGCAGGTGGCTAAGGAAGAGAGAGAACATAAGAAATACAGAGAACATGGTTCATGCTGCAAGAGGACAGGACAGATGGAGTAGGTGAGAAGCAGCGTAGGTTCTATAGTATATATGCTAATCGGAAGAAATATGCTGTTCACAAAAACATTGCTAATATTCTTTTTAGCTGGAATTCCAGCTCCCATTTATTTTGGAGCTTTGATAGATACCACTTGCTTGAAGTGGGGTACTATGACTTGTGGTGGAGAAGGAGCATGTAGGATGTACGACATTGTCACGTACAGGTATATTTTCTACTTTATTTTGATTTCTCCTTCTTGATGAATTATTATACGCATAGAGATACAATTTTACGCTCTTTATCTTTTCCTAGTAGACAAACTGCTCCTGTGTTAGAGGTTTGACACAACACTTTTCTTTGGCATTGGCTTTATTTGTCAAGTGCAAACTTTGCCACAGATGTTGGAACACCCTTTGAACAGAAATGTTCTGGTGCCGTAATTACATTCACTAATGGCCTTTCACGAGAACAGACCTTAAAAAAATGAATTCTGATAACAAAGTTAAAAGCAGTGAGACTTTGTGGGAAAATTATTGTTGGTTGTTTAATGACTGACTATACAATATCTTTGAAATGGTTGAAATAGTATTTGAATTAAAGTAGAGGAGAAATTTATAGAGAAGATACTGTTACCCAAGTTGGAAATTGGCCCAGGATACTATGCCTCATGCTTTTGTAGTCCTTTAAGGAGCACTGTGGGAATTTTGAAGAGTCGTCTTCTTGAACTAATGGACTCAGGCTGATTCCTTTTACTACTGTGGTGAGGTTGATTTGGAAGAAGAATACTAGCTCATGAATACCCAGAAGTTTTACTCAGGTGGTCTGAGCTGCCCTTTTCAGGGCTTTCTCTTTTCCCTGTGGAGAAAGCCATAAGGGTACCAGGTAGCTAACTTTGCTGGCTAAATTAGTTGCCTGAAGTTGGGTAATGTAAATAGCCATTTCACTGACGCTGACATATTCACTGATTTATCTTCTCTGAGATCCAAAAGGATCAGGGCACAAGCTTTAGAGCAGCTGGGCAACTGTCGCAAAACAATGTATGCTGAATAGTTTTGCTATTTTTACATGAAGGCATATATTTAATGAAGCTCATCCTTTATTTCAGGTGGCTCTATCTTGGCCTGCCAGCAATATTACGTGGAGTGTCCTATATCCCAAGTGCACTAATTCTCCTTATTTTAAAGAAGAAACTTAAATCTGAAAGCCAAGTCTTATTAAATGCACCAGTAGAAATGCAGGATAAAGAACAAGAAGCATTGAAATAGCATTTTGAAACAGGACATATTGTGACAAATCCTTGAAGTGTAAATTTTGGATATATCCTTGTGAAAGATTTCATACTTTAACTAGTGAACACTTGGAAAGAGATTAATAGTATTACACATAGTTGTATCATAATTGTATTATAAAACTATCAATTCATAAACAGAAGTTACAGGAAAAATGTGTTTGGTGCAAAAGAACAAAATGTGTTTGGTGCAAAAGAACAAGGAGTAGAAATCAGAAATGCAAGGTTTGAGTTACCTGAGCAAAGGGCTATGATGCAGAAACATATGTTTTCAGTCCTTGTTTCAGTAAAGATAGTGAGAATTTTGCAACTGACTCCAGTGATGCCAGATTTCATCCTGGAATCTCCAATGGCTTCTGCCACAGCCTCTCTCATTGACTGTAGACAGGATTTGTAGGTTCTTTGGACCTGAGTTTTCCATAAATTTATTTAATTTTACTGTTAGTTCTTTCAGGCCAGGACTGTTTGTTATTCTGCATAGTGTAGGTGGTGAATATATTGGGAACCTGGTTTATGACATGGCCTGGGTGCTGTGGTAATAATAACAAATAAAAAAAAAAGACATTAAAAAAATGCAGTGTTATGGTGATGTTTTAAGGTTTGCACAGACCATGGACAAGGAAAAGTTCTGAAGATTCGTAACTTCAGTTGCATTCACTCTAGAGGCGAATAACTCATACATTAAGCATGATAGAATGATACTTGTGAGTATTTTGCGCATCATATTGCTGTCTGCTAAACCCTATGCCTTCTTGTGTCTTGTCAAATTATTCTTTGAGTGATACTGTCATGGTTTAACCCCAGCTGGCAACCAAGCACCACCCAGCTGCTCGCTCACTCCCCCCTGGTGGGATGGGGAAGAGAATCAGAAGGATAAAAGTGAGAAAAATCATGGGTTGAGATTAAGACAGTTTAATAGGTAAAGCAAAAGCCACGCACACAAGTAGGGCAAAACAAGGAATTCGTTCACCACTTCCCATGGGCAGGCAGGGGTTCAGCCATCTCCAGGAAAGCAGGGCTCCATCATGTGTAACAGTTACTTGGTAAGACAAAACGCTGTAACTCTGGACATCTCCCCCTTCCTTCTTCTTCCCACAGCTTTATATATGCTGAGCATGACATCATATGGTATGGGATATCCCTGTGGTCAGTTGGGGTCAGCTGTCCCAGCTGTGTCCCCTCCCAACTTCTTGTGCACCCCCAGCCTCCTCGCTGCTGGGGTGGGGTGAGAAACAGAAAAGGCCTTGACTCTGTGTGAGCACTGCTCAGCAGTAACGAAAACATCCCTGACTTATCAATACTGCTTTTAGCACAAACCCAAAACATAGCCCCATACTAGCTACTGTGAAGAAAATTAACTCTATCCCAGGCAAAACCAGAATAGGTACATAACTGTAGTCATCCATGTTCTCTTCTTGGTCTTTGTCCAATATTTATTTCCCTTAGATGTGATGCTACAATGAATGTAGTATCCATTTGGGGTTCACTGACAGTGAGCTGTTGTCCTAGGATATCTTAAATATCTCAGGAATATCTCAGGGAAAAAACCATATAGAAACCCCTGCTGATAGGGTATATGTCACGCTAGGTGTACCTTCGGTTGAGTATAGTGCATCCGTGTTTAGCTTCAAGACAGAACCGCCTTGTATTTGGCTCCAGTGCAGAGGACCCTTAGGTCTGTCTGCAGGTGGCCATGCAATAACTTTTCAAGACCTTTTATTACAGCTGTTTGTTGGAAGTAAAAAAACCCCCTCCTGATTATTATTCCCTACTGCATAAGTCATGGAAGGAGCTTCTCGAATTTTACTATAGACCAATGCTCCAGCCCTTGCAAGTGTTTCCTACCCATTTAATCTGTATGACACAGACTTACTCCCATTTTATCCATCTGGAACCTTCTGCAGCCACAGAAAAATGGGAAGGACATTTCCCCAAAGTAGTTACATGAGTTAAGTTATATTCTGTTTTACTTTAAGGTGCCTTATTATATGTGTATGTGCTTGGAATTGCTTCCTGCTCTTGTGGAATCAATGACAAAAGATCCATTTCTTCCCACAGAGCAGGAAATCAGCTCTAGAATTTAATGTTTCTTCAAATACACGAAGTTCTTACAGTTACTTCTTTTGAAAAGCTATGTCACAGCCCCAACCTCCCTTTGCATCAGAGGATAGAGCTGAATGGGTATAAGGTGAGGAAGGGGAACAGAAGAAAAGACAAACGTGATGCAGCCTGCAACAGAGCAGAGCAGAAAGTGCACTTCTTTGGTAAGTCACAGGTCTTCCAGGAGCTTTGGGAACGTTTGAGGCAGTGTTCTTGCTACCTTGGGGCACTTACTGAAAGTCATCATTCTTCCTTGTGGATATTATATTCCTCCAAAGCTAGGGTTAAAAGTTTTTTGCAGGCATTTAGTCACAGTTTGGTGCCAAGGTAACCTGGGAAACATAACAAGCTACAGTGCACCATAATTTCACAGCTATAGGAAACAAAAGGGCTTTGTTAGGTAGGGAAATCTGTGCCATTTAAATGGACCATTGCCAAAGATTCAGGCCTAGTTAACTCACTGTGTTTTGAAATGGAAGGAAGCAGATAGGAAAGCTTCCAAGTTTTAAATTTAGCATTTTAGTAGATACATTAACTTTCTTCTTAATTGTTCCAGTTCATCTGCTTGAGAATGTAGCAGTGAAACAGGCCACCTTCACCAGACGCTTTGAAGCCATTAAGCCTGCTACTCAGTCTGTTTATCAACTGAGACAGTGCTGGCTGGAGAGCTGGCGGGGTGATGGCATGATAGAGAGGCTTCTTGGCATAAGCCTGCGGTGGGAACATTACTTCCCCAAGGCAAAACCAGCAAATGGAGAGTGCACGTCATTCCAAAGTAATCATCACAAAACCTTTATGATATGCCATTTCTGGTACAAAAATTATTCCTAGGACTAGGCTGGGAGGTTAGTAAATACTTTTGGAGCTATTCCTTCAAATGTAAAACCAAATTTTCGACTTGATCCTTCCAAGTCTCGAGCATGCTGACCTTCAAGCAAAGCATTTACTTAAAAATGAGTGGCTTCTTTAAGTAGGTGACATCAGACGTTTCAAGACTGAGCCCCAAACTGCCACTGTCATGACACTCATTTGAATGGAGGCTACTCGCTGTGCGTTAGAGTAGGTACTCAGATGATACTCACTGTGCTTGAAAGTTTGGGCTGATCCTGGTCTGATGTTTCAAGCACCGAGACTTGCATTAGCACTGTGGGTGGCACAAGCCACAAATGGGAATAATGCCAATAGAAGTAACAGTAAAAGTTTTTTATAACGCAGTAGCATATGAATATTCGAGTTGATGAAGTCCAACATCAAATTAATAAATATGGGTGGTAAGTTTATTTCCTGACTGCCTGAGAGCGGAGCAGATGGCTTTCACAGTACAATCAAGCACGTTTCTTTGTCACTGAAGTTTCAACTCATAGGTGCTCATGAGAGGAATTTTGATCCTTAAACCTACCGAGGGGAAGGCTAGGTGCTGGGGCCTGGATGTGGATGCTGCCAGACACTGAGAAACAAACACCTGTTTTTCTGGCATCGTGACAAGTGCAACATCTTGGAAATGTTTTAAAGGCAATGGTACATGAACTGTGCACACATGTATTTAGCATTTTGTACTCAATGCCTTTTGTAATGATCCCTGATGTTCCATTGGGTTCTTCTGACCATGATCAGGTGCTGAGCAGTAATTTTCAAAGAAATAACAGCAAAGTCTTCAGTATCTTACTGAAAAATGGCAATGCTTTGTAAAAAGCACATCTCTCTGCATGTGCAGGCTAAGGTTTTTTTCTCTGTTTAAATTATTTGCTCTGTACCGACTTTTAATTTCATTAGCTACTTTATTGCCAAGTCTCACTATTTGACAAGTCATCATTAACAGTTTTATATGTATCCTAAAAAATTCTGCGTCTGGTTTAAACTTCATTGTCTCCCTGCTGCTACTAACTTTTAAGAACTGAAACCTATTCTTGATGCGCAATTAAAAAATTCTGATTATGCATATTGTCCAAGCTATGATTTGTTTTTTGGAGAGGAAATTTCTCATTTGGGAGGCAAAAAATGTTACCTGGCAAGTTGATTTTAATTAGTGGGCATAAGGGAGGTGTGGTGACCGAAGCTGCACTATTACACAATAATGTGGCTGAGGGCATGACTATTTATGATACGAATGCTGGCTTTGTGATAGAAACGTATTGTGTTAACGTGTGTAGCTTCTGAATACATGAACGTTACAGTTTTGGACAAGTATTATTGGCAGTTCAAGTTTACTTTCTTTTTCAGTCATTTCAATTACAGTCAACAGTAGGCTGTTCTGTACCCTTTCCATCTCAAGTTGAGTTTTAGCAGATAACTCCTCCCCTACAGACTCTTCTCATCCAAGCAAGCCTCATAGTACCAGGAGCTAATTCAACCTGTGGATGTGGAGAGAGGAACACCCTGAGCATACCTGGGATGGGATTTGGCATGCAAAAAAGCCAAATCACTTCTTAGTTTTCACGTGATAAAAATCGTCATGTGATAAAAACTGGATATATCCAGAAACAAGTTCTTGGCTATTGCTGCTTTTTTTACAGAATTGTTGTTAGTTTTTTCCTTTCTTAATAAGGCATAAAGTGTTCCCAGTTACGCTAGTTGTGATTTTGAACTTTCATTGTTTGTGACTTGCTCTGAGAATGTGCAAAATCACTCGGTAATAATTGTTCAGGGAGTCAAAGGCATCAATTTCTTAAATCACAGGAGACTTAAATCACAGGACAAAAACTATGCGATCGCTTTAGAAGGTGAAATCTTAGGTATCACAATGCCTACCATCCCTTCCAGAAGCGACCATTTGGTAGCTCCAGGCCAGAAGCATGCTATATGCCTGGTAATTTCCAGCAGAGGTTCTTAGGGAATACAAACAGCGTTTGTCCAGGGCAGACATGCTTGTGACCACAGGTGCCGCCTTGCCGGATCCTTATAGCCTGGGCAGCGTTAAGGGGAAGGTCTTCGCTCGCAGGGCAGAAAGCCCGTTACAGGTGGGAAACGGTGGTGTAAAAGAAAAAGGTCACTACAAAGGTTTTGCTTTTTAAAAGGCTTTGACCCCCTGAGGTTGTGTAAAGGCT